ATAACCACCCATCGTGCCACCAAAACTGCTGTTGTACATCCCACCACCACCATACATGCCTGAACTTCCATAGAGACCACCACCACCATAACCTCCTCTATTATACATGCTACTACCACCATACATTCCACCACCTAGTGTTGAACCATACCCACCTAAAGTTGAACCATATGTACCCGAACCATACCCAGAGTTTATACCTAGATTTGAACCATAACCTGCATTATATACAATAAAGAAGTAAGCTTTATGTCCTCCAAATAACGGGGAAAAAAATCCAAATACAAGTTAAATAACATCTAAGCATACCTCCATAAGTGCTTCCATAGTTCTGCTGCTCCCAAGGTCTAGTTGGTACAGGCCTGCTCAGTGCATTCATATTAGCACCTGTATTAGTCCTGTTCATGGACGAAACTAGTTCACCGGGATTAGCTGTGCCAGAAGCCTCAACTGAATCAGCCGTGCTAGTATTTGAAGGAGGCCTGAAAGGCTTAGGACCAGATGTATTTCCTTCTTGTTCCCAAGGTTTAGGAGGACTGCCACCTACAGCAGCAGAAAATTGAAAGTTATTACATGTTAAGTGACTGAACTCCAATCATCACAGGAATCCCCATTAAAGAGACTTAGGAAGCAATTAAAAAAAAAGGTAAAAGATGATTAGAAACAGTATAGTAACATCAGTGAAGTTCTTTGAAAAATCGAGTATAACGAATAAGAGAAGGCATCATGACGCAATCCACATATAATTGAATCAAGAACAGCTAAAGCTAAAGACCAAGGGAAGCCAGAGTTAAACTTATCATCCATCATCAATCAGACTATCCAAAGTAAAAGCTGGCAAAGGTCACAATCCAAAGCTTTCATAATCTAACTCGTCTACCACAAAACAATGATCTAAGGTACAGATTACGAAATGGGATTAAAGTTGCTCAGCTGGAAAACAAATTAAAAACTCCGAATCAAGTTAACGAAACAGGTTAAAGAGAATTCCTTGAGGTCTGAATCAAAATCCACCAAAATTAAAGAGATCAAACTGATTCTCTTCTATTGATTACAACCCTAATCAATCCAAGTTTTCACAATTTCAAAGCAGAGAACTTGACGCGACTCATCGAACCAAACCAGAATTGCACAAGGATAATCAATAATCGAGACCCATGGATCTCAATCCGTACAAGATTAAAAAGCCAAAAGATTTGGGATTAAACTTACCTGGTGGCTGAGACGTCGCCATAACGGAGAAGATTCAAGAGCTCTTGGGTAAATCTCCGACGCCTACCTCAAGCGCG